GTGGGCCTTTGAGTCACCCGCCCCCGATGGTCAGCACTTCCCAACAGAGGGGGGCAGCAGAGGGCTGATCTGGGACCCCAGGTGCCTGAGGCCCAGTTCCAAGGCCTGATGGCTGCACTGGTTGGAGCCTGGCCCAGGCAAGGCAAAGGCTACTTGGCTTAACTGCTCCTGTCTCCTCAGCCTGCCTATCAGTCCTCACAGCCTGCAGTCACTTGTGGTGGAGCGTGGCTGTTCTGGGTGTGGAGTATTCTAAGCAGCTCAGAAAGGGAAAGGGGCCTTCTGGAGGCCACACAGCTAGGGAGCCTGACCCCACAATCACCTCTGGCTCTTTGAGCTCGAGGTGCCCCGCGTAAGGCTGAGGACAGGGTCAGGCCCCTGGGCTCCCTGCTCTCCTGCTTCAGGGGATACCTGCAGCAGGCACAAACGTGGAGGTGGCAGGCGCTGTGGTGGCGGTGGCGGGAGGGAGGTGCGGTAATGAATGTGGACGGGAGGCGGAATGAGCGATCCATCTTTGCATGGGAGGGGAGGGGGCCGCAGGCGTTCCCCCCACACACTCACACACTCAATCAGGCGCTGTCAGACCTCCGGCCGCCTGGCATTTTGGTGAAGAATCTCTCAGCTAAAAATTGTTGTCAGTCCCATTTCCTCGTTATCAGTGCAAGGGCTGAGGCAGCGCCCGGGGATTAACAGGAGCGGCGAGCGCCCGCACCGCCATCCACCGCCGATAACACCAGGCCTCCCGCCTCACCTCCCCCATTCATCATCTTTAGCACTGACAGCCCGTCCCAGTCCCTGTCCCCAGTCCCTCATGCTTCCCACGTCTCCCCACTGTGCTGCTCAGCCTGCCTCCTGACCTCCCTGGGGAGCTAGGCCTCCTGAAGAAGTACAAGATTCAACCTAGGCCCACATGACCTGGACCCACCTGTGGCAAAGGGCCTGGCCAGCCGTGGGGTGGGGCACAGGGGCAGGAGTGAGGAGTGCTCAACGGGAAGATGCTTCCTGACAGCCTGCCTCTGGGGGGCTCCGTCAGCCTACCTGTGATGCCGGCTTTGGCATTGGAGAAGGAACTCCTACATCAGAGGGGCAGCTGGACTAGGGACTTCCAGAGGTCTCTCCAGCCTGAGAAGGACCCTTAGATTCTCGGAACTGTGGCAGAGAAGAGCCAGAGGATGTCTACTCCCAGGCTTAGGAAGAGTTGGGGGTTGAGGACTTCGTTCCCACCCCCACAAGACCACAGCCGCCTCCTCTTGGCCATTCCCAGTGGTTTTATGGCCCGTTTTATGGCCACTGTAATGGCCCAGGTCAAAAGCTTCAGGGAGCTGTATTCTGGGAATTATGCAAACGAGGAGCAGGCCCAGGGCCAGAGTATGGATTTTGTCATTAAACCTGGGCAGGCCATGTCGTTAGTGCAGTAAAACCCACGTCATGACCACAGGTCTCAATATAAAATTATAGGGAACACAGCGGGGGAGGGGAAGCAGGGGGCCCATGGCCAGGCTGACACCTGCCACTCTAACCCCTGAGAAAATGGGGGTGGGATGGAGGGCATAGGCTGCAGGGACCCTCTGCTGATCCCTGTCAGTGCTGTACCTAAAGCTGGGAGTCAGGAAGAGGACCCATTGTCCCAGTAGAGAAACTGAGGCCAAGCTCAGAAAAGTAGATCTCTGTGGCAGCAAAGCAAACAGACTGAGAACAAGCATGTGGGAATGCTGATTCCTGGTCCCAGCCTTGAAGGGAAGACTCTGGGCTCCAGGAATCCCTAAGAGGCAGAGTTGGTATCCCAGGCTACCGGGCAGAAACCCTGATATTTCCACCTCAGCATAGACCCCATGCCCTGAATCCTCCCCTTTCATAGGTCTCCTCTCTTACCACTTCCCCTCTATGCCCCAGGCCCTGCCTCAATGACCCATTTCAACAGCCTTGTCAACCCTCCCTTATTCATCCTTCATGCCTTCCATCAAGTGTTGCCTTCCCCTGGACCCTACCAACCATCTACCAACCATCTTCGGGCCACTCCTGCCTCGATCCTGGGGTGGCCATTCGTGCCTCCCTCAGCCCTGGTCAGGGCTGTACGGACTGGATCCGCTGACTCTTCTTTGGCTTTCCTATTAGTTTGTGATCTCCTTCCGGCCAAGAATGTGTTTTATTTATCTCTGAACTCCAGTTTCTCCTAGAATAATGCCTGACGTGAAAGAATTGTTTAATAAATGTTTTGCTGAGTGAATAAGTAAATGAAGTGATGAGATCATGAGCTGAGTACAGGGGTCACTATCCAGTTCTGAGCCTTACTTTCCCCATCCTTAAAACAAGGTAACGGCCTACAGAACTTCTAGGGTCTCCCTCACCTGGGTGATTCTCTGACTGAATGAAGTTAGAGTCAGAGCTGAGACCAGAATCCTCAGCTCCCATCTTCCAGACCGAGGCATACCTGCTTCTTTTACTCACAGCTTCCAGCTGTCCTCCAAGCATCTAAGGCATAGCCACCAAGGCACATGATCAGCAGGGCCCCTTTGCCTTCTCAGACACCTGACCGCACAGACTAGAGCCACACCCACCCCACCCTGTCACACACAAAGCCTCCACAGTGGACATCCCAGCTCTGCAAAGATCATCTGGCTTCTAGGACAATCCAATCTTCGTTCCTATCCTCTTTCCCTTTCCTCTTTTCTCCTCCCATTATTCATTATTGCTTCATTATTGCCCATCAAGTCAATGCCAGGTCTGTTTTCAATTGTCTATAAATATAAAGTTAGAGAAGAAATGGCCCCTGCCCACGAGAAACTCACAGCTCATTCATTTACTCCTGTTCTCTGCCTGGAACACTTCTAAGATGCAACTTAAATTTCATTTCTTTGGTTAAGACTTCTCTATTTTCACTCCCTAAACATGCAGCCAGAATGAACTACTCCCTCCTTTGAGCTCTCAGATGACTCAGTCTGGACATCCAGGAGAGCTGTGACCATCCTCAATCTTGTGTCAAAGGGAGGCGGGTTCCTGTGCTCAGCCTGAACTGGAAGCTCCTTCAGGCATGGGGCGCTAGAGTTAGCAAATGAAAATATATGATACCCAAGTAAATTTGACTTTCAGAGAAACAGTGAGTAACTTTTAGCATAAGTATGTGCCATGCAATATTTGGGACATACTTACACTAAAAAAGTATTCATTATTTGCCTGGAATTCAGTTTTACCTGAGCATCTTATATTTAATTTGGTAACCCAACACAACCACCTTGGTCATCACTAGCGTGGCCTTTATCTCTCTGAAAACTAATTTTGACTCTCTCAGGACAAAAGTGGGAAGAAAAAGCAGGGAGGAAGATCTTGGCTTAAGCTAAAGAAGTCTTTCTACAGGCGTGCCTTGGTGGCTCAGTTGGTTGAGTGTCCAACTGCAGCTCAGGTTATGATCTCACATTCGTAGGCTTGAGCCCCGCATTGGGCTCTGCACTGACAGCTCGGAGACTGGAGCCTGCTTTGGATTCTGTGTCTCCCTCTCTCTCTGCCCTTCCCCTGCTTGTGCTCTGTCTCTCTCTGTCTCTCAAAAAATGAAATAAAAATTTTAAAAACTAAAAAAAAAAAGTCTCTCTACAGAGTTTACATAGATAGGCAAGGATATGTCTGGATAAACAGGCCTCCTCAATTCCACACCTTAAGCAGAGGCCAGAAGAGCACTGGGTGAAGAGAGTGGCAAGGGAAGGGGTTTAGGCTCCTCAAAAGGCGTGCATTAAGCAACCTTCAGGCTCCTTCCTAGCATAGTGTGCTCTGGTTACCATCAGCAACAGAGACAGCGACAGAGCTGGGACAGAGTGGGAACAGAGTTCAGGTTCCCAGCTGGCCCCCAAACCAACGGAGCCAGCAAAATACCCACTTGGGCTCCCATACAATTTGAAGGATATTTTGGAGGGGGAAACCCAGACCCTGTTAGATTCACAAGAGGCCAATAATGTTATCCAAGTGAGAGGTGGTGAGACCCAAACAGGAAGAATATAGATTCCAGGAATCCTGTAGAAGCAGAACGAACAGGACTTGGTGGTTAAATGAATGTGGGAGGGACAGTAAGGCACGAGAAGGGGCCTCAGGGGAGGCATAGGCTGGGGTAACCAGGTGAACATTGGTGTCATTAACTAAGAGGGCACTGCTGAACAGGGAGCAGGGGTGAAGACGCTGAAGAACTTGTTTTTGGATCATTGAGTTTCAGATTCTTGGGGGACACCCAGGCATTGATATCCATTAGGTGCTTGGATAGAGGGGCCGAGAGAACCAGGGAGCGATCTGGAGCAGAGATACAGATTCTGGAGTCTACAAAGCACAGGTGGGAATTAGGGCCTTAAGAAGGAAGAAGATGATCCAGCATACAGAATAGAGAGAGAAGAAGCTACGGGAAGAACCCTGGGAAGGTGAGGAACTGGAAGAAAACACTACCCCAGAAGTCATTCAGATCCTTTTTGGTCTTTCCCACTCAACTGTGAGGGCCTCAAAGGCAGGGACTAGATCTGATTATATGCTGTGGCCCCACTGCTCTGCACTAGGGCTAGTTCAGAGTAGACCTCAGACGATGTTTGTTGAATGACAACAGGAATGCAGGAATGAGTCCTCTTTCTCCCTCTTTTCTTCCTTCTCCAGATTTGGAGAATATAAAAACAGTAAGGAAAGGAGAGACAGAGGGGTCACTGGATATTCTGAGTGATGGTATGATTAAACCAAGACCTTCCCTAACCTGTATGAAATGAAGTGATCCAGGTTTGATTACACAGAGCATTGACTGTGTCCCAATAGATTTCCCACAGGGGCGGCCGGCTAAGGAGGCACCGTTCATGGCCCCTGGAGCCACAGAGAAGAGTGAATGGTCATGGGCTCTGAGACCCTTGGGCTCAACCCCTCTCTAGGCCAGCAAGCCCTAGGAGGCAGCAGCACACTTGCATTGGAGGATTGGGACACTGGGTTTCTGTATGTCCACAGACAAGCCCAGCTTATCTGTCTGTCTCTTCTTCTTCCCTCTCCAGGTAAGAAAAAGGCAGCAGCATTGTTTGACAGCCAGGCCCCTATTTGCCCTATCTGCCAGGTCCTGCTAAGGCCCAGTGAGTTGCAGGAGCATATGGAGCAAGAACTGGAACAGCTGGCCCAGCTGCCTGCCAGGTAAGCCACCAGCTGGGGGAGCCTGCCTGCCAGAGGGTTCCACTCAGTGTTCTGGACACCAGGTCCCAGGAACAGCCACGTGGCCCACACTCCATCCTCTAGGTAGAAGTAAGGCCCTACTGTTGTTCTCCTCTACTCTGCTTTCAATCCTCGGATCCTGCGGCTAAATGGTGATGCATTTCCCTTCTTGCTGTATTTTCAGAGATGGGAGGAGAGTGACCCCCTCTTCAGGCCTCAGCCTCAAAAGGGCACAAGAGGAGCTGGAAAGGGGATGAGCCACTGCCACAGGCCTGTACTGCCATGCTAAGCCTCAGGGTTAGGGTACCGGAAGCAGGGACTGGGCCTGCCAGCCTAACCAGAAGTGCAGCTTCGTGCTGCCATCCAGGAGAGTAAGCACTACCTTCTCTATCAGTCTCAGGGTCTGAAAGGTGACAGTCAAGCTTAGCCATGCCCTGCTGCTCTACCCTACTTCCCTTCTCCCTGCCTGAAGGACCAGGTGAGTCTCCTTGAGGGCCTTATGGAGGAGCCAGGTTATCAAAGGGACAGAGGAGAGGTATAACAAATCACCCCAAACCTTAGCAATTCAAAGTAGCCACTTCATTATACTCATGGCATCTGTGGCTTCAGGAATCCAGACAGAGCACAGAGGGATGGCCTGTGTCTGCTCCAGGATGTCTGGGGCCCCAGCTGGGAAGACTCGCTGGCTGGGAGCTGGGATCATCTGGAGCCCCCTTCACTCACATGTCTGGTGGCTGATTCTGGCTATCAGCTGGGACCTCAGCTGGAGCTGTGACCAAAGCACCTACACTTGGCTTCTCCACGTGGTCTGGGCCTTCTTATAGCATGGCAGCCTCCAGGTAGCTGGACTTTTTATGTGCAGCTTAGGGTACTAAAGCAAATGTTCCAGCCAAAGAGATGGGAGCTGGATCACCTTTCACAACCTAGCCTCAGAAGTCACTTAATGTCAGTTCTGCTGTACTCTATTGGTCGAGGCAATGTCAGCCCAGCCAGATTGAAGGGGAGAAGATATACACCCCACTTTTTGATGGGAGAGTGGCAGGGTCATATTATAGAAGAGCACGTGGGATGGGAGACATGGGTGGTTGCAGCCATCTCTGGAAAATATGGTCTGCTACAGGGGAATAGCCTGTCCCACCTCTCCCAACCCCACCCTACCCCTTGTTCAGTCCAAGTCACCAGACTTGACTGATCTCCTTCCATCTACCCACACCTAATCCCCCATGCAGGGTGCAGGTGACCCAAAGGTAAACCAGAACTGGTCCCACTCCCAGAAGCTCACTACATGACAGTAAGGAGAGCTGGGCCATGAAACCCCAAGGGATAGAGGCTGCTCTATGGGAAGAACTGTGGGGCATGGAAAAAGCACCAACCCAGCACAGAGCAAAGACCTCCTAAGGGAGGTGAGGCCTGAGCTGAATTTTGAAGGAAGAAGTGTTAGTTATCTACCACTGTGTTACAAATTACCCTCAAACCTAGTGGCTTGAAACAACAAACATTTATTACCCACAGTGTCTATGGACCATCAGTTCAGGCACAACTTAGTTGGGCAGTTGTGGGTAGTTGTGGCTTTCAGCTCAGTCTCTCATGAGGCTGCAGTCAAGATGTCAGCCAAGACAGTCATCTGAAGGTCTGACTGGGACTATGGGAGCCATTCCCAAGATGGCTTCTCCACACATGGGTCTCTCCATAAGACAGCTTGAGTTTCCCTATGACATGGTGGCTGACTTCCCACAGACGAAGTGAGCCAAGAGAGAAACTAAGTGGGAAGCCACAATGCCTTTTATGATCTAGTCTCCGAAGTCATACACTGTTGCTTCTAGCGTATTCTATTCTCTTCATTAGAAGCAAGTCACCAAGTCCAGCCCACACCAAGAGAGGAGAATTAAATTCTATAAACTCTACTTCTTGACAGGAAGAATATCAAAGAATTTGTGAAAATACTTAAAACTACCACAGAAGACTATACAAATGATAAAAATAATAATATGTATGAACCTTCGCTATATGCCAAGCACTTTACATTGCATTAATTTATTTACTCTTCACAACCATCTAGGTAGGCAATAATTATTAAGTCCGTTTTACAGATTAGGAAACTGAGGTACAGAGGGGTTAAGTGACTTTTCTAAGGTTGCACAGCCTATAAAGTGGTAAAGATAAGATTCAAATCCAAGGAGTCTGACTGTGGTGCCATGCTCTTAACCCACCCCCCACCCCCCGCCCCCGG